AGATAAGCGGCCGGCATTATCAAATCGGCGGAAGGGTGCTACAATTTACTATCCTAAATATGTTGATGGAATATTTATGGGTTCCTTCGTGATCCAGAATCAAACAATTTTATGAAATGTACTGAAAAAGTAGTGCTCTCTGCCATGCCAAGAAGTTGGGTTATTTCGAATATGAACATTTGTTCCGCCCCAAATTTTGAATAAATCCAGCTGCTCTTTAACTACGCATGTCATAGAAGGAGTCTTGACCAGATATTAATATCTCCACAACAATTCATTTAACACTGTCTTAAGTTGATCTGCTTGGCCCTACTGACTCCTTTGTATTTGTTCATAAATGGCATGCCTAATATGTGCGTATTTTGTCATATTCACCATTTCATTCATTTCATAGATGATGGTCGATCGTTTCCACAAGTTAGATCAAGAAGGCCTTGATCTAGATGATTAAAATGAAGTGACATCAGAGCAAATGTGAATACTCAGCAAATTTTCTAATCAAAGAAAGCAATTTCAGTAAGAAGAGTCCAAGAGTCTCAAACTAGGAGTTGTTCTAAACCTTGTTTCTCATTAAGAATGGGCTGTAAGTATTGTTGCTGTTCGGAAAGTAAATGAACCTTTTAAGTTGTGTTTAGATTATCTAGCCGATCAAAATTCTGCCTAGGAGTACACCTTTTTCCCACTACCAATTAGTGATGAAATCTTGTCAGCGTTTAATATGTCTAAATGGCGTGTGAAGTCTGATTTGGTGGAGACGCATCAAGAGAGTTGCACATGGTGACCTATAACAATTCACCATTCTTCCATATTGTGTCAGGGCCGGAACGAGTATTTTCTAACAAAAGAGGATACCATGACTTCATCCTCTCTGGTACTAAAGCACACGTGGTCACGATAAGTCTTGTCGACAGTCCAACATTCCAATTTCCAATATATTTAGCAGAAGAGAAATACAACCTTTTGTGCCAACCATAGGGTGCTAATGATGCATTTCTAGTTGTCCCATGTATGCAGAGATGCTTTATGAAAATAAAAACATCACGCTTACTTCTAAGTCACATTCGATACTTTAGTAAGTTTTCGTTAACACTGTTTTTTTGATCGGGCTCTCCAAGAGTGCTGTTGAAAAAATATACAAGGTGGGACTGGACTTCTAAACGCGAGATCGTCACCAAATAAGCAATGACCTTTCAATCTAATCATTTGGACTTGTCATAATACAAGACCCTGTGATCGAGTCCAAATGTGCTCATCCTATTATCTTCTTTGGGGTTGATTACAGTTTTCAATTTCCTACAAAATTCAAGGCATAAAAGCCAGAGGTATAGACAAACCTAGTATTACTCACTATGGTTCACTCGAGTAATTTATTTATTCTCCCCAAAATACGATTCAAAACTGGAAGTACGTGCCCAGGAATAGTCAAGGGGGTGAATATCTTAACATACGATCCAAATATCAAAAATAATATACATTTTAAGAAGTGATCAATAATGGGAGGGCGAACTGCCAACATGATCCTCATTAATTGGTTAAAAATGAATGAACCCAATTCTCCAAGGCAAAATTTTATTCAAACCTAACACATTTTCAAAAGGCCGATATTCTATCTAAAAATGGGATCATCTAAACAAACGAGGAAAACTCTTTTTTTTCCATGTTTATACATGAGCCACCTTTGAGAACAAGACGCCTTTCTTCATAGCAAGAACAGTCAATCGAAGGCCAAGACACTTTCACTTTCAAATGAAACAGTAGCCATCTTGTATATTCCACAATGGCCTACTTAAGTGGAAACATCGTAAAAATGAAATAACTCTCACAAACATAAATAGTTCAGGTTCGTTAATTAACCGAAAGGAAAAAATACTTAGGAAGAAAAGATCCTGTTTGTATTACGTTATTTCTTCATCGGGTACTCTTAAACATTCCTTGCACATAATCAATTTCATTATGGTTGGCAGCAAAATTATTAATTGTTAAGCTAATATATTGGATAAAACCAAGTATTTTATAAATCCAAAATAAAAATGGATTTAAATTTTAGAAAATGTCCAATTAATCAAAAATTTCATTATTTTTATTAAAAGGAGAAAATGAACTTAAAAAAAACTATCTTACAAATTCAGTTCTGTGTATTCTATCATTGATTTACTAATTATTTAAGCCATATGAAATTGCGCGTAAATTTTAATTACAAATTCTTTCAATCAATTCAATTTTATACACTTCACTGATAATTCACAAATACTAACCCAATGTCTCCCAAAACATGAGTAGTAAATAAATGGGCTATCGTTTTTAAAACCTGTCCCGTCTTCCGAAATAAATAAATAAATACAAACATACAGTGAATCCCTGCATTTAGATTGAATGTGCAGTTGAAGTTTTCATAAAGTTTATGCGGGGTGCTAGAAAAAATTTGGACAGAACAAGGAAAAGCTTCAACAGATAACAGAGTGCAACAATCGAGAAAGTATTCCATTCAAAATAACCGACTCTTGCCTCTGTTACAGCCTCAATCCAGCCATTACAAAGGCCGTGGCTTGGAATTTTAGAGAAATGGAATTTTGCACTTTCCATGACAAGGTCTCAAAAGCTGCTTTCATTCTTGCCATTACTTGGGAAGCTTTTATACTATTGGTACTGCAAATAGTGTCTTCCATGCAGAATTAAACATATACAAAGGTCCAAGGGGTTAGGATCTGAGTAATCAGGCTGCGAAGAGTGAGAATGTAAAGTATTCATTAATAATTGTGCTGCTATAAAGCCAAAAAACGTTTTTCTTTCATCTGAAATGTGGCAAAAGGCCAAATTATGCTGTTATCCTATATGCAGCTCACCACTGGCTAACCTCTTTACCCTGGACTTGCATGTATTCCCTTGTAGTCATGTAACAGAACTTATTGCGTCACAAAAATGTTAGACATTACTTCATTATCTGCCGAAGATGAACACACTACAGAAAGCCGCGGCACTTTGGGAGAATTTAGTCTGTTTGACTCGAAAAGAGTCCCTTGAAATCTACTCAAGCTAAGTCATCTCTTATTCTGTGTGGTCGAGCTTGGTCTTGGTTAAAGGTTTTCCAAACGGAAAGTGTTAGTACTTGAGCAAACTATTTCCTTTGGATCAAAATTTGTCAGATGCTTTTGAGTGAAGTTGACTCTTATGATGCCATTAAATATGTTAATTGCAATTGTCTTAATTGGAAGAAAATTCCATAGCAGAGGGTTAAAAATTCAAGCACTGTATCAACAAAGATCGAATTTCAATCACAGGCAGTTCTTCAGCACCTTTCAATTAGAAATATGTTTTTTTTTCAACTGCACCAGCGTCGAAGTCTTCAGAGCACTTATGAATTTCATCGCGAATTCTTTTCACGATATTTTGGGTGCATTAATTAAAGACCATGTTCTCATTGGTTTGGTAGCAGTCACGAGTACTCAACGACAGCGATTGATCCTAGTAATTTACTTTTGTTTGCATCGCGCACATGAACGATCAGGCTAGCGGGTTGAAGATATTCCACATATCCAGAAAAGGTGACTCGATGGGATTTTGAAAAGAAATTTATCCCAACCATATCTTTAAAACATTTAGTACTTGGGTTTTGATCTTTCTCGATAGTATTAAAAATGAAAAACACCCCACAGACGTGCGTAGATTCAACAGTTTCAATAATATGAACTGAGAAATTTTAGATCAATTTGTTGAATAAGAGAGCAATATTTTATAGCCCATATGGAAATAGAGAATATTATACAAGAAGCAAAATATTTATTTCTCTGTAATGAAAAAATGTCATGTATGTTGTGTGGCGTTCTCGCTTTGACTAGCCAAGTACTCAGACACTTCAGTATGCCCAAACTCCAACGCCATATTGAGAGCTGTTTGCCCATTTCTTTCTGGATCTAATTTGGCTCCTAACGAAATACATGAATAAAAATTTAGTTTTAAATGGGAAAAAACATTCCGATTTTACAATGTAAAATATTTACCCCGAGAAACTAATAATTGACATACGGGTAAGTAGCCTCCCCTTGCTGCATTCATTAATGGGGTTAATCCACTTGTGTCGCGTCTTTCGAGTGGTGCTCCAACTTGAATCCATTTTTCTACCATTTCAATATGCCCCAATGTTGCCGATACTGTGAGTGGTGGATTAAGGTTGAACACGGGATATCGAATATCCGCTTTGCATATTAACAACAAAATATCAATTTTTTCAAGTATTTTACTAATTGCGACATCGCTAAAGATCTTGTAAAGGGCTATTTGCCTATTAATTTGAGGACTTTGACTTGAAAGCATTGAAAAAATAAGGGGAATATTACCCTATTTAATACAAAGGGTAGATAGTAATTTTGTTGAATAAATATAAAACAATTAAAAAAATGAGAGTTTTACCGACATCACAGCCAAACCAATTCCGCTTATACGACAAGGCGATAGGTAAAACGGTGATGCCCCTGCATTCACCAGCAGCAGAGCTACATAATGGTGTTGGTTTTGCATGGCTAAGATTAATGGCGTTAAACCAATGTTGTTAACCGGATCGATGTAGCATTGATGGACAATTAATAGAGAAACACCACCGACAAATCCTCCCGCTGCAGCATAGTGTAATGGCGTATTTCCATGTTCATCAGTAGTATTATATTGGTGAATAAAATCTGCCATCTTTGCAAGATTGCCGGCCTGTGTAGCCATTAGTAAATCGGTTGCCCCATAATTTATTCCGCTAACCTGTTAAATTGTCTGAATTTTAACTAAGAAATATTAGGTTGGTAACGAAATGAGTCATTTAAGCAACTTACACTGTGATGTCCATTAGTTACGCGATTATTGCTGTTCGTCATGATTGCTATCTTTTGGGACTAATACTTAAATCCCTATATAATAAAAGAAAATGTAAAAACTTCACAATTCACAGTATGTAATGGTTCAAATAAACGCCTACCGATATGGTTAATTTGTGGATTTTAAAGAGTTAGTGATTAAAATTAATTCAGCTGAATGATTTGCATTTCGATAGCTAATTTGAATTTAAACGAATTGATGCCATGTATTCCTCTTCAAATATCGAATTCGTTTTTTGTTGCCTTTGCATACCAAAAATCATATTTTTCAACAAAATTGTGTAAAAATGTCCTAACTTTAGTTAGATGTCACTAAAACCAAATTTTGGAGATCTTTGTCTGTTGATAGCAGGAAATTGCCAAATTATGCTCAAAACACTTCAGCAACATTGAAACTGAAGTAGGATTATTTATAATAAAGCACATAGCAGATTTTTCATTCATTCGAGGCTTTGAAATAATCAATTGTTTTCAATTAATTCAGTTTCGCTAAATTATAAGTTAAGATGTGATCATAAATTAATAAATCCACATTTGAACGCGATTTGCCTGCTGTTAAAATGTGGAAGACATAATTTCGAAGAAGATATATAGCGGATTGTCAGACAAATAAACCTTTACAAAATCCAGCCAGTTCTTTCTGCTCCTGATACCATCTAATCTATCTTGACAATAACAAGGATGCAGATTGCATAGTGTACACTGTAAGTATGCTCATCATCAAAGTGTTTAGTGATTGAAAATATTTAGCGTAAGTGAATTGAATGCATTGGGTGAGAAAGTCCTTGTACCCACGATGGCACATTTCAGAATGTCCGTGTTTGCATAAGATTGCTAAATTTAACCGAGTTAGAACTAATTACTCCATAGTTAAGTGCCAAAAGTTGTAATTGGGAAATTTGAAAATTTTTTGTCTTCATATAGATACTTAAGAGGCAGCATACAAAGGAACTTCAAAGATTAAGACAGATGCTTGCATTTCGAATATTGAAATAATATGGTGTTAAAGGTAATCGAATTGATGATACTTCTTGTTCGACAATAAATTTACAATGGAACTAGATAACGAACATACTTATGGATAATACCACCCATATACGAATTTTGGTCAATCAAATGGAATTTTAGTGACCATTAATCAAATAAACTATCTGATAAAACCTCTGAAATCTTCTTGGAAGTTTGATTCTTTGGACACGATCAAAATATAAAATTCCGGCGACGCAAATATTGATTAAAAAGTAGCTGAGTATCAATGATCAATATAAAGCACTTCAAAGAATTGAATTGTTGGTTAACTGAAAGGTTTCTGCATGATGCAGTTGATTATAACGCAACCAATAGCACGACTGCTCCTGTCAGAATATTCTACGTTACTCAAGGTTCCTGTGGTCGAAATATATTAACAATTTAAACAAAAATCAATTTTGATGGTTAAAGGTTTTAATTTTATAACAACCAATAATAATATAATACAATTAAGACTAAAACACTTTTTGTATGTCGGCGCGGAAAAGATGAAAATTAAATGCAATGAATGGTTTTGATGTAAGTAACCACGTGTTTAGACCTTAAAGGCGAACGAAATGGTCCACATCCTATTTATCAAATGAATGTCAATTAATCTTAGAATATTCTTCGCTTTGACGTTAAGTGAGAAATTTCTTTCAGTCTCACCAATAATTTCCCTATTAACCACATTCTTCTTCAAAACAGTTTGAGAAAAAGAAGTTAAAAACAATAAAATTATACTTTGGGAAAATTTCTCTATTTGAAATTATAAAAGTCTAATCGAATGTCACGTTTGCAATTAGTTTTAATGTGCATACATTATTTGGCCACCCTGTATATGGTTCATCATTTTAAATTGCCGATTTCACTATGAAGCTTCTGATATGTTGCTGTTTTTCTCATCTTCACCTCACATATCGATTAAACAAAATACAACTCATCACTTGATGACTGGTGTCTTAGAAATTTGAATCACTGAGAATTCACGGTTGCGCCTTGACAAAGGAAATAACTACTTCATGGGATCACTTTCCATTGTTTAAAAATATCACATTTGCCTAAGTGTTATGCAGATTTCAACTACATGGTTATTTCAACTAGAAATTAATATTTAAGACTAAGAAAACAAGCTTTCAGTCATTAAATTTCCATGCAATTCAACATTTGATGAGTTTCAATCATTTCTTCAAAAATATGTCAGAAAATTGTAACATTTGTGAGCAGGTCATATAAATTTGAAACGCACACCAGTCTTTGCTGACAATCATTGGCTAATTGGCAGACCATTTCATCTAATATGACGAAATGGCGTCAATGCTGTATAGAAAAGGCGATTAAAAAAGTTTTCGATAAACTAATTGATTTGAAATTCTTAGTGTAAATAAGCAAATATTTATGATAGAATCAGCCGTTTTCAAATAAATACTTTATTTAATATAATTAAGTTCTAGTTATTGGAAATGAATACATTTCATTAGTGAACTTCATCTTGTATGCAATAGAGTTTTCTATATTAATAATACAATGTTCTGATCATAATGGTTAAATAAAGAGAGCAAAACCAATTTATTATTTGAATATCAAATAAAGGTACAATATTTCTCACATTGACGCTTAGGTGTAAAATTGCCTTCCAATCTCATCAATATATCCAGACTATTCTCGAACTTTAAAATTTTCTTCAAATCGCCATCACAAATCGTAATGCTTTGTTTAATTAGCTTTTTTGCTTCAGAGAATATCTAATTTCGCTATTTTAGGAGAGCTTTGCCTCTGAGCAGAAATTAGGAGTTTAGCTAAGAGAACAACTCACGAAGGAGATTTGAGTCTAGTCAAAGTGAGAACTAAGAAAGGGTTAATCATTCATTCTGTAACTCTACGCAGGACTGTTATGCTGAACACCAATCTCCACGAAGCGATGCCTCCATAATGAAGTGAAGAATGATCATCTAAATTAAGCATAATTAATAACTCAGACCACTAAGGTTTATGCATTGGAATTATGAAAAGGCATATTTATTGCTCTTTGCTTATGATTTTTGCACTTCTCTCTGGAGCCCTCTAGTCTAAGTGCGAGAACGAGAAAGGAATGAACCAAACATTTGACCAAAGGTGCCTAAAGGCACACAAATTGGGGCAAAAAATCTGAAATATAATATATATTTATAAATTGTCCATTACCTCATCTCCAATACTCTCATTTTTAATTTCAACGTAAAAATGACTTTTGGTATTTAATTGTTGTTGCTAAGATTGGATATATATCTTTCAGTATATTTTTTAATAATATATATATATATATATATAATTTGACTAAAGTGTGTTTGTGAATTCTCTGGTTATATTCTGTATGTCAAATGCAAGTGGAACTTATTAAAGAATGACATTTAACAATATTCACTAGGATTTACGAATCGACAAAATTATTTTTATCGAAACTGTTTTATTCACTATATTCGAAGACTGAGGGAGAGGGGGTGATCTGAGCGATCATGGGATACTTTTTCAGGAATATTGGAAAGTTTTAAATGAATGTGAATCATGATTTGGGGGTGTACTTGAGTCATTCAAGAAAGGAGTCACTTTTTCAATTTTTGATTGTAAAATACTCGAGATATTCATTAACGTCAGTTAAAACACATGATATAACACAAGATTGATAGTTGTACAAAAATATTTCATCTTGAAGAACCGTTTGCTAAAGGCAAAAATTTTATATAAGAAATTCTTTAAGTAATTCTTTTCATTAATCAATAATTCCGAGAGGTGGAAAATTGATTTGAAGAAAAGTTGTGATGAATTTAGACTAGCATAATCGACATTTTGGTTTAAATTTATGACGATTAATGGAATGTTATAGTTTCATAAGATAGCGAGAAAATGTTCAGACTTGCAATAATAAAATAAATTTCGATAATGACATGAATGCAACTGTTGTTTGCAGCTGAAGCAAACACATAAATAGATAGTTCAAACCTGTTTAAAAGACATAAGGGATATTTCAGTAAAGAATAAATGCTTATTTAACTCCGAACGAAAGTTAAGTATCCTTAGAAGACATCGAGTTTCATTCACTTTTATATATTTTCAAGAGAAGAACTAAGAAAATACCTTCTATCGACAAAGAGCAATGAAACGTAGACAATAAACTGCTAATTAAAAAGCACATCGTGCCTGATTTATGCATAGAATAGTCATTTAGATCGTTTTTTAAATCCAATCGGTTCTGCAAAATTCACAAATGGCAATTAGTTATTTATTTCATTTTTGCATAAGTTAGTGCTCAAGATCCTAATATATATTGATTATATTTATTATTCAAAAGAAAATGTTTTTTCGAATTCATTGGGTCTGTCGTTTATTTTCCACTTATTCTAAAACAAGCACGTAGGAATCTCAATTTCTACAAAACTAAGTTTTCTTTTCATTATTGCCTCAATCTCAATTTTTCCTGAAAATATTTTAATTAAAGAGAAAAAATTATGCAATTATAATAATATTGTGCCTTCCCAAGCTCTTTTAGAAGACTCAAAACTCGGTGATTGAGAACTATTATTGAGAAACGCATGTGATTTATGCGAAAAACCTCTTAGTTAAAGGGATGGAGCTGATTAGAAAGTTTTGGATATTGCAGCCGTTAAAATGAAAAAACTCAATGAATAATTTAAAAACAATATAATATGAACTATTTCTCACGAAGTTATCCTATAAAACGAATAAATTTTAATTGAGTTTTAAAAATATAACTTCGATTTTATGCAGAATGTGCCTATGCGTTTATGATAGAAATAAAATTTGCATATGATAGAATTAAACGCTTTTGAATTGGTTTTTGGTTTACTGGTAAAAGAAATTTAAAATGGTTTGGAAGGCGATGAGGTGCTGTTGATCGCAGAGAGAAGGTTCGTCGTGATTTTAGCGATCTCTCAGTAGACCAGCTATCAATTGGCATTATTGTTTAGTGCAAGCCTAATTGTATTTTAATTATCTATTAGCAGGAAGTCAATATCATTTATTCCACACGTTTCGTCTCTTCGATATTGTTGGGGAAGATTTTCAGAATTCTCGAACGATTTCAAACAGGAGAATTTTGCCCACAGACAATTATCACCGGTTAGTCAGGGCTGATTAAAGTGGAGCCGACGGCAATTTTTTACCCTGTCAGTTGAATTAGTGAATGTTACTGAAGCATTTTCAATTTTCAAAAGAAATGTTCAGTGTACAGTGTTTGGACTTTGCTTTCGTAAAAGCAAAGTAAATTAACGCTAATGTGACTATTTGCGGCCTTTGGTCTCTTAGAAAATTATGAATATTTGTGAAATTTTACAATAACATTGTGATAGGGTTTCAAATATAATGCCGCAGTCTCAAGATCGGTCGCTTTACCGAATTGAAAGAACCAATTTTTTACTAATTCTACTATAACACTACAATTTTCGCACAGTATGTGAAAAGTAAGACGCATTGTCCAATGGTGGAAGAATGGATTTTGGTTGCCAATTTAAACTAATGAAAACATTTGGTTCCGTGCAAAACGACAGATCAGCAAAATTGGATGTTCTGGAAATCTCATCATTCAAAATTTAAAGAAAACGACTTTGTCTTCGAACAGCTAGAAGACTGCAGTGGGCAAAATCGAAAGCTCATTCAAGGAAATATTTGATATATTTTTGGCAAACCGAATGGAGAACAGTAGTAATATTGTTTCAAGTAAGTGATTTTTCATGTTTGTGAAATCGTGTGACTCTTGGCATTTTGCCCGCATGTAATACATCACTATCGTTCGTTCTTGCTTTATTTACTCTAACCATTTTAATTCATCAATTTAATGTCTTCAATTAACCATAAATGTTATCATATTCCACAAGAGACCATGGTGTATTTTTATCTTTTTTATTGATAATATTTTTTAATTTATCGGATCTCAATAAAACATTGAATTTCAATATTGACAATTTATTTATTCTCAAAGATGCTATTTGAATGCATTCTTCTAATTGTTTTTATGCAATATTTTGCAATTCCAATTGCCAATACTATTGATAAATATTCGAGTTACCAGCCAATACATTGCATTTAAATGTCTCACCTCTGATTTCGTGGAAAGGCCCAGTTGTGGTATGGCATAATATGATGGCCTAGTGCAACTAAATTGATGCGCAAGTTATAAGAAATAAAATAGGCATTTGCCCAATGTGTGCAAAGAAGTAGATTAACCTTAGATGGTTTACTGCGTTTGAGAAGAAAAAGAAACAGAATGTAGCGGGCCATACCACCATCAATTACAAAACAAAAGCTTCTTTTGAAACAAGTTTACCGTTATGTATTAATTTTTTAATAATCAAACAGATTTTAAAAAGATGTCAAATACTGGGGAAATGGAAATTAAATAGCATTTTACTTAAAGTGATTCGCAATTACTAAGGCCATCATAGCGAGCACTTCAGAGCATGAGACTGAAGTAGTCGACGATGTTGTTGTCCGATTTGGAGTTGGATGTATTTGTGAAGAGGAGGTTGAAACTGGCGGGGATTTGGTTGAAGTTTTACCTGAAGATTGAGCAGCGCATAGGCCGTTATCACACGATTCATATCCAGAAGGACAATTTGTACATTGATTGCCTTTCGTGTAGGGTTTTTGTTTATTAAAATTTCCCCTACATTGCAAAAATTTTTCAAGTTGAAATTCAAATTCTCGTTTATTAGTTAATAATAATAATAAGTACTTACCTAGGACTGTACTGACAGGCAACAAAGAATGCTGAATCATAGGTATTGTTCCCTATCGCAAATTGAGTGCATACCTTATATGCGCAACCTAGGTCGAGCGACTTCGCCCAAACGACCTAATAGGAATAGTAATAACCATTGTGCTATTTAATATATAAGTTACCTGCGTATAATGTCCACAAACTTTTGCACAATTATTGCTATCATAAGTATAATCGAACGTTTCGTTATACCACATCTCCACCATGCCATGCAGGCTTAATTTTTTACTAGTTGTCATTCCCAAATTTTGACCGAAGGCAGAATAAGTTGGATCCGTTTGGTCGGGATGCTTCCATACACATTTATCCACCCATTGTTGGGCCAAATTCTCCAAATTGGTGCTGTAAATCTGGTATAAAATTAACGGTACAAAATTATTTAACATAAAATTAACTCGCAAGTTTAGAGCATTAAATTGTTAATTTACCATTTTCAGCATATCTGATGCTGACGGAGATACGCTGGAACGGAATTTGTTGTGAGAATCTAAAATCTCTTTTCTCTCTTCATCATTCAGAGCCCACGAACAAGGCCACCCATATAAAACAGCGATTACAAATACGCATATCATTTTCTGATCTAAACATGTGAACGATTGGAATTGAAGTATAGTACTTAATTGATATTTCCGAGTCATTTTATTATTTTTTTAAATTATTTCAACATATAAAAAATCAATAAAATATTTTCCGGTATTTGATCATTAATGTGGATAAATTCATTTTAAGTGATAAAACATACCGAAGTGGAATTGAAATTAATTTGCTTCTAATTACTAGTTTATTTAAATACAGATTAATTAGCCAATGAAATCAAGTTTGGTGCATCAAATAAATCCAGCAATTACCCCCAATTAAATACTTATGGAAGAAATAAGTTTTATTACTTTACAAAATAACCAGAGTTCCATCGACAAAAATTCTCATGAAATATCAGTAACAAAATGATAAAATATCCTTCATACAAATGATTTTATTTAGTGAAAAAAATGAAATTAGGAAATTTATTGGAAGTACATATCATTCTTTAAGGAGATCAAGTGAACATATTGATCTCTATAGGATATCAGCTCATATTGTACCATGGATTCAAGGCTTGTGGAAAAGGTAGTATTCAACGGCAATTCACAGTGATCAACTTTTGTTAAAATTTCCTTAATTCCTTAAATTTATTTATTCTTAAGTTTAGTCGTCTATTTTTTTGCCTTTATAGTTATATTTATCTTGCCATATCTGAACACCACCATTTAAACAAAAAATGAAAGAATTATATGGGGGCATAATTGCTAAAAATAAACATATTATTATAGGATTGATATTTATTCAAAAATATAAGCTAGGAAATGAAGGAGAAGGTCTTTTCATGCACACAGTTACAAATTGCTGCACTCAAGATTTAACTTCTGGTGACACGAACATTTGAACACATTGATGCACAATCGATAATGCTAAGATAATATCATGATAATATTATGAATTTGATTGGAAAGAATCGATTTTAAAGCATTTACAGTCATGCAATAAAAGATAAAAGCAAACTAGAGCATAAAGTGTTATTTGAAACTCACTTTGTGGTGTCAGTTTAAACTAGGACAGGTGAAGTTCAAATGATGATAGTTTATAACACTGGTGAATAATTATACTCCATGTAATCAACTTTTGTTTACAAAATGTGATACCTCCAATCCAGTACTGAAACCAACAAATAACTTAAGGGGGTATTCTTGTCTAGAGGCATAAATTTTAGGTCATCTTTGAAGTGTTATAAAAAATAAGCAAGCAATATTTTTATTATCAATTTTTATACATTATTTATTCACATTAGAAGCATACAAAAAATAAAACATTGACAAATTTAAAATTCCGTTAGTTATCAGCTGATGGAGTGGGGCGTATCAAAAACCCACGATTTTAACTCTCCTAGCAATCTGAAATCAAAAATTAAAAAAAGATTATCAATCTACAATAATGTCTCTATGTCTGGAACAACGGAAAGGTTACAAAAATATTTTTTACAAAATGATGACTGTCTAAAGAGAAAAATTTTTTTCCACTTTTTTGAACATTTTTCGATTTTTTTAAAAATAGTAAAAATAAAAATTTGGAAATGGCCGTAGTTCCAGACATAGACAAGTCTTTAAAGAAGACTCTCTTAAAATTTCAAGTAAATCGGTTCGCAGAACCTGAGAAATCGTGGGTATCAGATGCCAAAAAACAGTTCTGAGAAAAAACGCGTTTAAAGGTTCAATTAAAAGTTTTGTAGTCTAAGTCATAGAGTTATATTTTTAACTTACATTTATTCAATCTGCCATTCCTGCTTAATACATCGGACCTTCCTGGACTTGGAAAAAACTATTTTCGGGGTCTCTGTTTTTTATTCGATCAGTTCTGGCCTCCTTTGTTGGACTGGATGCTTGTATCTCGGAGCGGTCAATCCGGGCGTTGTCTCGTCTGATAGCAAATGCATGCGCTTCTGGACCAATTTTCACTTCCATAATCGTCATCATCTTTAACATCGGTATGAAGTTTTCATTAAAAATACAAACAGCAATAATTGTTGTAATTTCAATTATCTGAGACGGAATGGATATGCTTTGGGGCGAAAGTTCATATTAGCGAGTTTAGAGACTCATTATTACTTTGAGTTTCTGAACCCAAACATCGAATCAATAACGCTTCTGATGATAAACTTTGAAGGATTTGTCAACGAATGGATATGATGGAATGTAGCCTAGACTATTGCAATTGTGTTGTAATGCAATTTTGAACCCGAGTCCGCATTGAGCCGTTCTTGAAAGTATAATCTCGTTGTTGTATGTAGTAACGAAATAAGTGAAGAAATTTCTGAAAAGACCGTGAAAAACTAGAAAGCACAGTGGCCGTAATTATTATCTATAATAACTTCTTCATCATTTGATTTCCTCAATATTGCTGCTGATGCACTCATAAAACTGATATGGATAGATATAACGGAACAAAAGGACTTACTAAGAAATATAGACTCAGGTAGTCGGAGAACCCTTTATGTCTTTTTTCTATTTGGATGCCTGCTCAGCAAAATATTTATATCTCCGAAAATAATTCGAATTTTGGAAAATCCTCTCGTTGACCTATTTCTAAATTGTTAAACCATGAAAATATGCAAAAAATTCGAAATTTATTTTTCTGGACCAGAATACCTCCATAACCCTTAGTGTATCGGACGATACCATGAAGAGAGGAGGCAAAGTAAAGCATTTGAATTATTGACAGTCAACACGGGATTGCAACAAAATGCTTCATATATTGAATCAGTTAGGTTTTATTTTGATCGAGATATTTTAAGCGATTTAGACTTACAGATCATACACTTTCCTATCGAAAAGTATTTAACAATCGGTCGACGGAATCCAAAACCAATTCGAAGAATAGCATTTGTCAGATAGATGATCGGTAAACAATGTCTATGAATTTGGTAAAATGAAAGTAACATACCTAGAACAAGTATCAGAAACAATTTCAAAACTGGGTTTCTGATTGAAAAAATGAAAGCTGTGGAAAAGGGGCATGAAGTAAATAATAAAGTTAAAGAAGAAATTTCGTAAGCTATTCCAGCAGACTTCTCAAAGACGTCTCAATCAAGTGTTGAGGGAAAATCAACAGCTAAAAATATTAATTGTAAGAGAAGAAATATAGTCAATAATGCACACAGTCTAATTGTGCTTCACCTGGAGAAAGTTTATTTCTTTTAAATTGACTTCTTTCTGGAGAACATTAAATTCTAACAGAATACATATAGCAAAATTTAACTTGTCTAACTATTAACGTTCAAAATTTCTAAAATTGTTTTTTTATTTAGATAGTGACAGTTAGTAAAAATGTCTTTGAAAAAATTATTAAAACTGGAAATTACAAAAAATACGCTCGCATGGTTTAATTTCAAAGATGCTCAAGACGTTCTCGAAAGAGCAAATGCAAGCTTCCGTATTTGGTCACTAGTAACATTATATGAAGACATCAATGAAACTGCATTGCGGAACATTCCGTAACATTAGAGATAATTATTTAAAGCGTCAAAATGTAGTTCACTTGAAGTTGGCCATTCTTTTTAAAAAAATCAAATTTCCTTATCTCACCACGTCACTTCCAATATATCGACAATTGTTTTTTTTGAGCGAATTCACAAATTATAATAAGGGATTGCTTTAATTATTAGCCAATATTTAAATTCTCATTAAAGTTGGAGCCCTTCGAGCATACAAAGCACTTGATATATTGATGATTGACCCCATTACAAATGATTCACAAGGCGTGAAATGCATAAAAACGAAAACAAATGAGTCAAATGAAGGTAGCTTTAATGCCATCGCAAAGTGAGTTTCCTACACAAACAGAAAAACTATTTGATAAATATTTATTTATTTCAAATGGCAGGCGTTTTGATAGCTATCATTAGCCATTTAGCTGACTTCGGGCTTCACAGGGGGAAGGTTAATCAAAGTAGCAGAAAGTCGAGGGGTGGGGAACAGAAGAGCGATTCACAGATGTAAAAGAGGCAGACAGACACAAAGGTAGAGAAAAAGGTAAGGTGAGTACAGAGTAAGGGGTCTAATATGACAACCAGGGGGGTCGTGGTAGTTTGAAGTCAGAAGTCAATTGCCGGTTAATAGACTTTTTTGCCGTATGAGTATACGTTGCCCAGGGTGCACCACGTGGAGGTAAGTTTATCGCA